AATAATAAACTCTCTTGAAAACCAATTATTTTAAGACAACTGAAAATGGCTAAACAACACTAGAAAACATTAAAAATGTCATCTCGAATCTTTCAGCACATAATATGTCATAATAATATTCGTCTTTATATTAGGTTCATGTTACACTTGCAGTCAGTTTTTTTTTGTGTTTTGCAGATCTTTTTTATATTTTCTTTGATTAAATGATATGTGTAATACATATTACTGTAACATAATGTATTTTGCTAAAAATCATCTACCCTCTAAATACTAGGATCACTATAACTAAAACACAAAATTTTCTTTAAAAATATACATTTTGTGTTCTGTTCTTCAAAGCAATTCATGCGATTTAATGCTTCTTTGTTCAGTGAAAAGTACATGTTAAATATTAACAAATTACTTACTCTCACTTCTAAAATACTTTTCATTATAAGTATAGTCAAACTCTAAGGTCTAACTGGTTCCATTATTAATTCAATATTCTATTCTAAGCAATCTATATCTAAAAGATCGATAAGTAATTTTGAAATCTCTCAAGATTCCAGATGACATTCTGAATAATATGGACAGAATTTCAAATAAACTCAACTCTTCTGTGGATTGGATCTGGTAATATTGTCGATCATCTTCAGACCCACTGAAGAAGGACAAAATTGATTACAAGACAAGTTAGATAGAAGAGCTGGGGTTATATAGGAAAATCCATGTCATTTTGGGAACCTCAGAATAGTTTTTTATTTTGAGCAGAAATAATTCCTTTAGGCTACTATTGTTTTATAAAATCTCCGCCTGTTCGCATAAACACAACGCAAGTTAATAATTGATTATATTCTTGTTTTCACAGCCACTCACACCAAAAGAAATGCACTATATTTCAAGCACTACCAGCCTCTTATTAACAAAAAATGAATTATTAGGAGTGTCTCCAAAGTGCTGGATTGAGCATTTTCTTGGAATGCAATTTTTTACGTTACATACGTACTGTCAACTACTTTTGTATGCATGAGATTACTGATAAAATGAAATAAATGAAAATAAATTATCCCATTGAGTAAATCCAATATCTAAAATTCCAACTGGCAAGCACACATGGCAAATGTTAGATAAATAAGGTGAACAGATAAGTTCAGTATAAAATAAATATGCATCAAATAGATGATGACATAACCAAAAGAATAAAGGAATAATAAAGATAAAAATTTAAACATTTTGAAAAATGGAAACTAGGACTCAGGTGAATCCAAGGATAAATTGTTCAATATTCAAAGATGACTAAAGAGCATTCAGATTGTAGAGGCTTAACCAATTGCTTTACTCCAGTCTGCAGATTAGTAAAATAGTAAATGAAAATCAAATTCAACAATTTTTTTCATGATATAATAAAAATAAATTTTGGAGATACCAAGTTTCTTGTGTAGGTATTACATCATTCACTGTTCATCTAATGGAAATCAGCATTTTTTATTATTACAATAATTGTATGTTGTAAGATGAATAAATGATCCATTGAGAGAAAGCATCACAATTAATTCAGAGTTAAAAATATTTAACCAAATAGTTAGTGCTTTCAAGAAAATAAAGGTAGTACACAATAAAAAGTATAATGATAAGAATGAATAATCTATAGGTTCATTCGGGTTGCGATTTCAGAACTATTCAATAATCGTTCTCGAACTGCGCAGTACTAGTGCGCGGTCGTTTCGAATCCTAGGACTGTTTCAGAACGGTTCACAAATTATGAAAACCCGAACGCGGCAGAAGAGAACCTCTGAGAATATAACCTCTATTCAGAATTTGCGAAAAAAACGATAATTAGGAACATGTATCTTTATTCGAATAATATTCTGAAGCTTCAAACTCTTCTCCACAATATCTCTGGAAGCGCTCTATGGAGGAATGGTGAATACTCAGGTGGACATATTCCATCATAGCATTCGTAGCTAGATTTTCAATATGTTTTGTTCCTTGTACCTATATGAATTTCGACACCCACCTGAAATGTTCAATGAATTGTGTATCTGAATATAATAGCAAAGTTTCCCCTCCATTTTTCGGATTATCTAACAAAACTTCGAGAATTATCAGATTAGGCACAATATTTTCAGCAACTTCAGCAAGGATATCTTTCACCACTGCTTCCTGAAGATGAAGAACTACAACTATCAAATGAATGTACTAACTCCATAATATTTTGGAAATAGTAGAGCAATAAACAGTTGAATAAACAAGAATCTATCATTATGACGTTACGCTACAACTGACAGAATCGAAAACTAAATGGAATGAGCATGCGCCAAAAATGATCGCAGAACGGTTCACGCTCGAGAGCAGGTACTGGTTTCGGATAGTTCTAGGACCGTCCCAGGACGAGTCTGGAAAAACCCGAACGCATAAAGAGTCAGTCCTAGAACAGTTCAATAAAACCCGAACGCGACCGATTCTACTGCGCAAACTCTTGACAGTTCTAGAACCGTATTAGTTCGAACCCGAATGAACCTAATGTATGTGAATATATTGAAAGTGAAAAAATAAGTACACTGTATCAATAAACTGATAAAAATAGTTTGAATTCAATTGACCAAAGCACTTTGAAATATGCTTTGAAAAATATTCCATCAAAAAAGCTTTTCAGTGTTGACAAATAGGGAACTGAGATATAAAATATCAATCAATGTGAAATGAGGCTTTGATCTAATGTTATGGACAGGTTTTCAGCAAGAACCAAACAAATAACTTGGTAATAATGATGCTGATGTAATTTCAATTTCAAAGCAATGTTATTGAACAATATAATTAAGAAAAAGATGTTGAAATAGGGAACTCACATAATAAATATCTGATATTGAGGTGCCGCACATGATTTTTTCACCTGGTTTTTACTAATGCATGCAAGATAATCTGAGATTGATAAATTCATGTTCCAGAGAATTATTTCCCTTTCCTTTTCATCTTCAACTAGAGAAATCGAGTTTTGGTCGGGATGATCAAATATTTGAAGTAAAAACAATTATGCATCATCTACCTCTGAACATCTAGAAAGTATGAATTTTCAATTGGCACTAAAATGGTTGGGAAATTTCTTTTGTACAAAAATAATTCAATTAAAACTATGAGGAAGTTATGATATTGAGTCACAAGGACAGAAAATGAGCTTCAGCAGCCCGCTAAATCAGTTTCCTAATGTGTGACACACTGTTTTTATGCCTACCAAAAACACAAAACAAAAGGAAAATACAACAGAAATCTTCCATATAAAATCATGTTGTTGAGTTTAGCAGCCTAAGGAGTGCTAAACATTACTTTCGGTCAGATTTTTAGGGTAGATAAAATTCATTTTCATATATGGTAGGCGAAAATAATAGAATCTGATAGAAAATCATGTGATCATTCTTTGAAGACACCTCTGGAACATTTTGTTCATCTCATAGTTTAGGTGTCCTATGAGAAACAAACCTATGTGTAAGCCCTAAATCATATACTTTTGGCGACTGATTTGACAAAGATTATCCAATAGTGCCGATAAATCTATAAGTAGCTGAACATGCTCAACACATTCCCAATGCATGGAATCCGTTTTACTCTATATTATGTACAAGTTGACTGAATATTTTTGTGGTTCAAATCAGGTACTTCATCATTCTTGAAAAAATGTATGTCAAGAATTTATAGATCGCAGGCTGTGTTCAACTAATATGGTGTGTAGTCATTCTCGTCTCCAGCTCTTTAGTTGAAAGCATAGTTTTTCTCTAAAATTCCGGAATGATTTTTACATATTTTATACATTAACACATTAGATGTTGAGCTAGTAAGGGATTAGAATCTCATCTTTTGGTAAAAAAAGAATCGGACCTACCTCTTAAATTTCACTACCTATATAAATTATGATTAATTGTGGGATGTCACAATGGAATATGTGGTGAATTGGGACTGTGGTAAAGGTACAGTCACTTAGTTCATCTGAATTCAGTAATAATAGTTTTTAGAAACTATGAGAAATCAGTAATCTTCATCTTTCATTTACTTTTACATTTTTCACCTGCCTTATATTTTTCTAGTGGGGTGGTTTTAGTTTCAATATAGACTTGCATCTAATGATATTGGTACCCACAGTGAAATGTGACAATTCACTACTACACCTTTGGATGTATCCATCCCACAATCAATGTTAGAATTTTGACTTTAAAGGTGGATTCATGCATGACTCAATTTAGCCCAAATTCAATGCAACACTTAGCTTGAGAAATTCAATTTTGCATTTTCTAAAGATCAGTTCATGCAGTCGACATAAGGAGCACAATTCAAGAATCAAAAAAGACAGTCAACTTTTTCTATCGAATTTTGAAGCAAATCACTTCATTGGATGTTAAGATATGGTGCAATCAAAGAAATAGTAGAAATAACATGGAAATAAATAATGGAGTAGGATAAGAAAAAGGCTGCTACTAGTAAAGGTAGGTACTATGACGGCCAAGGCGTATTCTGGTTTTATTTTCCAAGTTACTTCATTCCAGGTCAAAACGGCTTCATGTTCATGCTGAATCGTTGTCAGAGTATGGAAAAAGCTGGTAGGAATATGAAGTTCAGACCTGTTCATAACATGATCAGACCTGTTTCAAAGCATTTCAAACTAAATGTTCAAGCCACATTGAGAGTTGCAATCTAAAACAGAGCTTCCAAACAGGTATGAACCAGCATCCAACCAGTATGAAACAGCATTCCAAAATGATCCCAGACCTTCACAGTATCTTTTCTGTCACTAGTGCCACTATCAAGACAGCAGACTTTGGAAACCCTTCTAAGTGATAAATTGAATCGTGCATGAACCACTCGAGATCATGACTATAAAACAGATCATGCATGGAGCCACCTCACGCTACGATGTTTAGTTCACCGCACAGATGAAACCGCCTCCCAACACTCAACCTCCCACGTGAGGAATGCGCGAGATATCCGAACCTCAGTCCGCCGACATAACCTCAAACTCCACTTCGAGTCCATCACTGCAGGCAGACGTCACAACAAGACCACCTCGAGTCCATCACTGGCAAGTGGCAAGCGGTCACGTAACACAGGCCGGCCTCACCTTCGTCGGCGGTCGCGTGATCTCGGCCTCTGTCGCCGGCCACGCCCACGCATCACGAGCAACACTGCATCCACGCGGTGTTGCACGTGCAGTAGCAGCTGGCGGGCATTATTGGGGCGTAGACGATCCCGTTGGCGTAGACGAGCGGCGGCGGCTGCTGGGTCATCAGCCGCTGCTGGTCCTGGTAGAGGACCTGCCAAGCGAGGTTCTTGATCAGCTGCAGGGTCTGCCGCCTCTCGTGTCCCATCAGGCACACCGTGGACTCTTCTACCACGTCGTGCAGGAGCATGAGGTACTGGTGGCGGAGGGCTTCCTCGTCCGGCTCGACGAAGTGGTTCCACAGGTAGTTCTCCAGCTTGCCCTTTTGCTGGGTGATGTCGGGAAAGTCGATGAAGAAGCGGGAGCACATGTACCTGGAAGGAAACGGTATCGGTTAAGTGGTTGATTCCACCATTATGGTTATGCAGACATAGAGTTCTTAAAATTATTCAAAAAATAAACATTATTTTCGTGAATAAAGTGAACGTGAAATATGAATAGCTGAGTAGTGGCATCATGAACATTAGCACTAATCTTCTATTCTTGTGGTATTACAAGAAGGTATACTGCTATGGTATATAAATGCTGTTTCTAGTTGAATTTGTTTGTATGTTATTTTGCGCTAAACATCACCAATTAAACATGTTCTGTATATGTATTAAAGGGTCTATGACTGCAACAGGATAATGAAAAGATGAATAATTTGACAAATAATGGCTTACAATGAGATTGTAAACTACTGAAACTCATCATGTGCACTACTTTTGTTGGTACAAATATCTAAACGGTTATAGTTCTGCCAAATATTTTCACTCTTTGCATTCGATGTGGAAATAACTGTTTCGATCATTCTAACAGATGATTAATTCTTTAATTGATCTTGTGGATGATAGTTCTTAGTTTCTTAGTGCCTATTTCTCTCTTAGTTGACTTTGTAGTATTATTATGAGAATATTTAGCAGATTCAAAACGTGAATAAAGATATTTTTCTACTCACATAACTAAAATGGCATTTAGCGTACGGATATGTACCACGCTAAATGATCGATTAATCACGAATTGTCGATCTGTGATTTATTCAGAATATTAAACACGTTACCATGGCAACACGATTTCTTAAACACATTCACCATGGCAACACAGTTCATTAAACACAGCTTCAGTAGTTTGAGACATGTCTGGCCTGTCAGTTGTATTAACTGTCAACTGTTATTTTCAAATTTTGTATCAGAATCATTCAAACAATATTCGTTTGTATCAGAATTCTTCATTAAAAATATATGCGAAAAGTATAGACGAAAGTGAAATCGGAGAGAATGTTCTGGTACTTGCATATCTCCAAGAAGTGTAAAAATAAAGCATCCATCTTTGAGAACAATTTATTTATTCTGCGCTAAGCATGACAATAAACGTGAAACAAAGGTTAGTGAGCAATGGACTGAACACATCTACAACCAATATCACTTATACGTGTCTCGCTGGTTGTATGCAGTTGCATGTATTATGTTCTCAAGTCCCATTCCTTTCGAATTATTTTGTAGGTTAGCAAGAATAGCAGGTATGTTAATGTAATTTTCGGAGTTCGTAGAAAAATCATAGTATGTAACGCGTTTATAAACTCTTCTAGACACTCGTTTATTAAACACTCGCTCCGCTCTGCTCCGCTTGTGCTTAAAATACTCGTTACTAAAAGGACGTTTATAACACTTGTTACATAATATACTATTATTTATAATGCTCACTGGCAACTTGGGATTAGACAAACCACCGGGGAAGCATTGACTATAATATGAAGAATGCTCGTCCTCAATTCTTTGAATAATTCGATCTAATTGAAGAATTAGGAAAACCTTGGTGTGAAGTTTATGGTTGCTCGAAATAAAGTGGTTTAGGTTTATGAAGAAAAGAAAGTGCTGAGTCTTCTCCACAACGGTTATCATCATTTGTATAAATATTGAGGTACATATTTAGAGTCCATTATCAATCGTATGAAGTTTTATCATATATATTTTTATGTATTTTTGCAATACACCAATATTTGAATGTTGCTTTGTTTTCGAGAAAAATAACCAGCAAACAATTGCTCGTCTCTAAACCTATTGAGTCAAGAATTGGTATTTTCTAAAATGTTCTTCATGCTGGGCAACATAAAATGCATACTTGATTCACAGGCCGAAGTCTATTTCAAAAAAATATTTTTTTAAAAGAAATTTACATCACTCTTGTGTTTCAAAAACGAAGTGCTTCCAGTAATGTTGATTTTAACAATAATTATTCCTCTGAACTAGATCGAGTTAGTACTTTCAAACAATGAAATAAATTATTTCCATTACCGTAATTCTAAATCATAGAGATGATTGAAAAACAGGAAATACTTCATAATTCTGTTATTAAAGTTGGAATTTAACCGGCGTGTGACGGATGTTATTGAATCTCGCTGGTAATGGATTTTTCATGACAATGGTTGAAAAGTGCTATAATTTTGATCGGTATACTCCTGATGGAGAGGCCCATTCGTTATTCGTTGTTATCATTACATTATTATCGATCTGAAAACTCAAATTGTTGTCATGCGGAAAAGTCTACAGTACTGAAATCTAATTATTCATACATAAACGTCCATGACCGAAAGGATTTGATTCCCAGCGAGGGTAAAGAATGTTTCTAATATTCAATTAGCAAAATGTATACATTTGGGTAGTTTCTCAAGAATATTTTTTTATGTTCTGGTTCCCACGAAAAGGGATATCCTGTAATGTTCAGAGAACATCGTGAGAACCGAGGAAAATAAGGTAGGAATTGGTGTTATTCTTGAATTTCTGGAAGTTATATGCCTCGGGGGAGACCTCCCTTGGCAATGTGTTCCAGAGCCTCGCTGTTCGTTGGATGAACAAGTCTTTGGAAAGAGATGTTCTGCAGGTCTCCAAAGTGACCACGAAGGAGGGCGAAGCCTCAACTCGACGGGTTAATCTCGCGGGGACTGCCAAGGGAGGAACAATTCGGAGACGGTGAGTGAATCGAAAATTGGGTAAATCGATAATTGGGCGAATCGAAAATTGGATGAATCGAAAATTGGGCAAATCGAAATATGTACCATACATACATGTTATGTGTATCAAATAATGGAAATATTTAATAATGATAAGCCCAGAATGATTCTTCATTCAGATTTGGCAACAACGCATCGTTCGGGTATTTTCGGAGATGGTGGGCGAATCGAAAATTGTGTTAATCGAAAATTGGGCGAATCGAAAATTGCGTGAATCGAAAATTGGGCCGAATGCAACCTACCCTTTGAATTGACAGTGAGTTGATGATCCCAACATTTATATTGTGCTCTGGGCTCACATTCTTTCCGTCGGTCATCTTTTACGAGCCAGACTATACATTTGAAAATGTCACTATCGGAAACCTAAAAGCGGAATTCAATCGATTGTCAGTGACACCTTGTTTTTATTAATTGATGTTGAATTGACCATTTTCATAATAAGATTCCATAAGTGAATATACCATGTTCTGTCTACACCAACCAAACTGGAAGCAATGCTAAGAAGAATGCAAGCGGATTTCTTTGATTTATCTAATTTGGTTTTCATCTTCTTTCTCTATTATTTGAATATTATTCCACTGCCAAATGTTGTCCACTTTCGATAAGGATATGTTCAGTTATTTTTTCAGATATGCAAATAATATAATGTATTATATCAACTCACATTTCCGCGACATTTTGGCGCGAATCATCTGATTTATCCTCAACTATATATACAGGGTGTGACTTAATGATATGCTAATATTCAAGGGGCCGATTCTTCAACCCATTTCAAGAATAAAATTTGATATGAACATATGTCGTAAGCGTCCTAACTTTCGAGATACAGGGTGTCAATGTTGAAAATATGCAGATTATTTTTTTGTCCACCCTGTATAACTATTCGTGGTGGAAAAATTCAGTCTGGTATGTGACTGAATCGGTATACGAATTTCAAAATGTGAAATACTGTGGTTCTCCAGTAATGGATTTTCTGAATGGAGTACTCAAACATCAAAATTTGAAGTCTGGTCTCGTTTTTCCGTTTTTTCTCGAAAACGAAGCGTTCTATCGAGTATCAACAAGAGGATTTTTTTTTGTACATAATTAAATATCCTTTCATAGCATTGCATGCAATTTGAAATTTTTCCGTCGTTGCTCACTTTCAAGTAAAATTTAAACAATAATTTTCCCGTAACGGTCCCACTGGTAGAGAAAATGCACCTTGATGCATAAAAGACGTGTACCAAATTTCAAAAAGATGTATACAAAATTGTCTTAGTTATCATCAAAATACTGAATATTTTTCAAAACTTCATCACCCTGTATCTCAAAAGTTAAGACTTTTGGAACATACGTTCATAAAAAGTTCTCTTCTTAAAATGATTCAGATAATCTCCCCGTCAAATATTAGCATGTCTTTAAGGAACACCCTGTATATATTGAAATAACACTTGTATTTTCATTTGTAGAAATGAGAAGAGAACATCCCAAAAAATTTGGAGAAATGAATATTCCACCTCCTCGATTAAAAAGACACACTACTCCTAATACTACTACTAAAACTAATGAAATGTGAAAAGCAACAGTGAATTCACAGAATATTCCATTAATTCAATGTCACGATCAAGCTAGGAGTTTAAAAAAGCCATGAAGTAGAGCGAGTGAATACAAAACAGTTCGCAAAAAAGCATAAAATCCATAAAAAACTTGTTGCTATAGTAACCATCGCATTGATAAAAATGTAACCCGTTGTATAGACAAAAAAATCCAAATCGACTCATTGTCCACATCAGTCCCGTTCATTATTCGCATTGTAATTGATATTGCTTTCTGAACTTGACCTTTTCCTGATATAATATTATGGCGATAATAAAATTAGTGTGTATTAAAAAGTTACTAGCAATAAAGTTTAACGGTAGCTCTGTTTGCGATTATTATTTATTACCGTTGACTACTGATGAGTTATTGCTAGTAATGCTTGATAAAATATGTAATCTTTATGACTTTGTGAAAGCTGTATCTTGCGGAATACATAGAACAAGCATTAAGGAAATGACCAAAAGGATAAAGAACTATTTTTATCTACTCTCTGAATCGAACGTAGGCGTTTGCTCCCTCATTTAAGGAAACAAAGTTGTCAATTTACTCCCATGGAAAGAAACAATTTTCACCTCCCGTGGGAGGTAAAACAAATTGGCTTCAGCATGCATCCATTTGCGTTGATAAACCTATAAAATCTGTACAATCCAAGTAATCAGTGACCAATGATATCATGCGCTTCTTCATGTTCCGAGCGTACTTCTAATCAAAACTTTCAAATGCAGTTACACAATATACAAATCT